ATTAATCAGGTTTAGAGCCCGACGTCGCAGTTTCAACGCGGCACACCGCTGTCGTTCGAGCCGGGATTGGCGATCGATTGGCCGCGTTATGTTATAATCGATTCGACTCGTTTCTAATTAGAACACGAGCGTCTGGTGTGCGCGACGCACGGCGCGAATATTTCGAGAAAGCCTGAATTTTTCAAAGCCAGCGATTATTCATGAAGCAGTCTGCTCGGAGAACGAAATGTCGCGCTGATTATAGCGTCAAAACGCCCCTCGCCTCCCGCACTCACTGTTACTGTCTACGCCGTCGGCGTCTGTCTGTCTGTCTGTCTGTCTTCGCGTGGCTCAACATCCAATGTATCAATTTTCATTAGTTTCCGAAATACCGCTGATGTCTTCGGATCTTTGGCGCGATATATTTCAGTCGCGTTTAATATGCCGCTCGATTTAGTTAGCGAAGGCTATCATCGCTGTATCGCGCTGCGTGTCGTACACTGTCGATCCTCTCTCTCTCTCGAACGAACGAACGAACGAACGAGATTATGCAGCTCCAGCGCTGCAAGAATCTTCTGCTGCGGTCGCAGGAGAGATTAATATCAGGTACGCGAAGCCGACGATGCGTTTAGTTTGGCAGGGTTATAAGACCGCTTTCCAATGGCGTTGCATGGGCTCGCTCACATTCGCGATGTTTCACTAACGAGAAAAGGTCGCTCTTGTAGTAATCGTCGCCGTCGTCGTCGTCGACGTCACCGTCGGGGTCTCGCGTGTGCGCCGGAAAGTATTTCAAAATGTACCGTACTCTCTAGCCGAACTGCGAATTTAATTAAGGCTGATACAAGTTTCAATTACATCCTCATTCCGGATGTATTTTCTCCTTCTCTCTTTCTCCTCCTCTCCTCCCCTTCTCCTTCCCCTTCTCTCTCTCTCTCTCTCTCTCTCTCTCTCTCTCTCTCTCTCTCTCTCTCTCTCTCTCTCTCTCTCTCTCTCTCTCCCTCTCCCTCTCTCTCTGGCTCGATACCGTCTTCAATAAATAATCAACCTTCGTCCGGAATAACGCGTTCACGCTTGCGGAAACTTGACGTTTTCTCAATAACGAGCGATGTTAACGGGGAAACAATGTCGTGCGCGAGCGGAAGTCGGATTTTCACCGCGGATATCCGCAAATATTCGCGCGATTTTTGCGATTTCCTTCGCGAATCCTTCGCGAATCTTTTCGCGGCGACGAGACGACGAGGCGTGTGTCGTAAAGGCGAAATAAGAAAATAATCGGAAAGGGGTCGTCGCGTGCCGTCACGCGTTTTCTCTCACTGCGTGACCCGCACGCGTGCGTCGTGCGTCACCCGCGGGCTCTACGCGCCCGGCCGTGCACATTCCGCGCGGCGCGGCGCGGCGCGGCGCGGCGCGGCGCGGCGCGTTCGCGACGACGACAAATTTCACAAAATGCCGTGCATTCCGCGCGCTCGCTACGGACTTTTCTCCGGCGGGCGAAGAGACCGAGCGCGGCTCGTAAATTCAGCCGAGATCTACGGCGAAGCTTAGCGCGAGCCGCAGGATCGCCGACGCGGATCGGGCGAGCTGCGAGATTAATCTCGCCAGCGATTTACGGCGGTTGGCCCGTGAAAGACTGGCCGCGATGAATTGGGAATCGACGATTGATTCAATGGCGAACGCGCTGTCGAGTCTGCCCGTCATTGAAGATGACGGACATTTTGCAGCGAAAAGCCTCTGCCGGTCGGCATTAATGTTTCGCGCCTTTTTCCTCTGGGAAAAGCAGCAACTCGAGCCGCTTTTGTCCAATATCGTAATTGTCTAATAAAAAATTTTACTCGTACAGTGAAGTGTAGGAAAAAAAGGAAACGTGAGAAGTGAGAGAAAACATTTTCCGGCTATCGCATTAGCCGGGGAATGAAGTTTCCTGCTCTTTGACCCGCTCGTAGCTCAAGCACATTGACAATCTGTATCCGCGTCGCGTACGAATCTCGTCGAATGAACGCCTTGGGACGAGCGAGCGCTCATTAGCGCAGCGCGTCTTTACTTTCGCTGTGCGCTCCCCGACGGCGACGTCGCGCTCGCGAGCGTCAACGACCAAGTCGCATCCGCGGTAAGAATGCTAATGCGGTTTCACGTAGCGCGATCTGTCAGCTGCTTATCTCGCTTAGGTATGTAGGTTCCGATTGCGACGAAAGAATCGGAATACATCGCCGAAACATACGACGACGACGACGACGACGACGAGGAAGGTGTCGCGATTCCGTTTTGCGATTCCGGGTGCGACGACCGGCTTTAGCATACAATCCTCGCCTCGCCGGGGAATAATTAGCCGTCCCGGTTGTTCGTGAGCGCGCGCGGCGCGAGGTGCTAATCGATACACCGCGGCGCGCGATCGAGCCGTCGCGTTCCAAACTCGCATCTCACGCCGACGAACTGCGAGGCGGCGATGAACTTGGACGAGGCGGTTTTAGCATTGCAAATCGCCTATAAGCGAAACGCAACGGCTCGAGCTGAGGCTTTCTTTCCGCGGCCGCGAGTATCCTGCTTAGCGCGAAAATCGAATCCTGCATACATCGAGCTTTTACGAGGCCGCGCCGGCGCGGCAGCCACGTGAAAGCCGTATCTTCGGCCGGGCGGATCCGCGCTACGTGCACACACGTACGTAGATACGTACGTAGATTCGATTCCGAGTCTGCTCGCGTGCGATTTGAATGTCGCGCGAGGGACTTTGGACGCTTTCGGTAACTCGACGATGGGAGTGGCTGCGAGTCGGCGCGCGAGATGAAAGGCAGCCGCGCGATTTTTCACGCCGCGCGCGCCTTTTATTTTCATAATGGAAATTGGACGGGCAGAAAGGCGGCGAAAGGGAAGCTATCAGCGAAATTTATGGATACGAGCATCGATCGCGCGCAAATTAGGCGCTCGCGCCTGCAAAAGCGCGCGTCCTATCCGGCGTTAATTGAGCTTACATTAAGAATATTGCCGCGTACTGTGCGATCAGCGTAAACATCATGTAAATGCGGCCCGTGCATATTCAGCGTGGCGCATTGATGTCGAGCCCTACGTATATCCTCGGAATTAGCAACATTAACGAAATTCGTCGCTCATTTCACGTGCATACGACATAATGCACGCGAGAAGCGAACAATCTGAGCCATTCGCGCGCGCGCGCGTGACACCTCCTCTCTAATTGTCTGCTTCCCTTTGCGCTTGTCGTCTTCCTGTCGCGACACGATCGCTCGCTTTCGCAAATCAGGCCCGAGGATTATGTTTGTTACATTCTTTTCTCCGTCTTGCACCGTGTCGTGTTTTCCATCGTGCAGAGCGAAATGTTTTTCTCCTAATGTTTTCCTCTCCAAATAATTTCACCCGCAGACACATGTGTCCTAGACTTTCAGTTCACCTGGAGTGGCTGCACCTTCTTCAGGCAACGTTCGTCTCTAGCGTTCGTCGAGGATGCTCCCTCACTTGTGTCTAACTTGAGAGCAAATATATGGTCGTCTCCACCCACTCTTGCGCTCGGCTCGTCCAAGATCCACCCACGGTCTCGCGATCTCCGATGGAAATCCGATGATTCCCATAAACAAGGGGTGGGCATGGGAGATGCATGGGAGGCGGCACTGGGTCTCTCATTACTCGATTCGGAGTCCGGCTCAACAACCGGCCGATCTCTCGTATCGGACGGATCTATCTGGAGCACCCAGATACATAGGTAGCCGCCTCCTATATGTGACGAGTACGAAGTGCCGAGCGCGTCAAAACCGAGACCCTTCGGCGGATGCCTATCGTGATTTCGCCGGTGAGGCGGGCTGAAGAGCGACGCGAGGTGAGCTGCGCGCAGGTGAGGCGAGGCGCGAGGTGGTGCGCGGTGATAAATTCGAGGAGCGCAGGAGTGATTTATCCGTCGGGGATCGATATGGAGAAAATATCGTTAATATGAATATGTCCGTGATTTATCGGCCCGGTTCAAGCGCGGAGGCGATCGGTTTTCGCGTAGCGCGAATAATCCTCTTATAAATCGCGATTATTAACTCGCGTCCCGGAATCATGCCGGCGTCTCGTTCCTCCGTTCCTGATCTCGCTGCGATGTAACAGCTGTCGGGAAGTTAGTCGGGAAGCTGACTTATGAGATGAATTTGTAAGTATAGGACCGACGAGAGAATTGAGCGACGAGGAGAAGAACTGCGGAAACATTTGCGGGATCTTCTCTCCTTCTCTCACTGTGAATGTACCAAGACGTTACTGCTTCATTCACGGCAATATTTTGGAAAAGATTTTATTTGTATCGGCAAAGGTTAAAATGTTGCGGCGGTGCGAGCGGTGTTGTTGCATCGAAAATCGTAGGATAATTTTCGGCACAGAGGAAACGTAAAGAGCGCCGCAACGTCGTCCGATAAGGTCGATTTCTGCAGAGGTGTTGCAGAACCGTTTCTCCAGCGGTTTGTGCCTCCATCTTGCAATGTCGAGTCATACCGAATGCAAGTAGTACCGAATAATGGTATATTCGGTTTTGCTTGATTTTGTCGAATAATCCGTGCGGCACAACGAGATAAAATATCCAAAAAAGGCACGTAAGCTTATCCTTGCCTTTTTTTCGTTACAACTAATTAATTATCTCGAAACGAATTATGTGCTCGCATCTCACTGTCCGAGCTGTCTCTCATCGCGATGATTCCAATTATACTGCAATACTGCAATCTGTCTAGTTTTAAAAACTTGTTATTCTCCTCGACAAATACCAAAAGTAACACAGGCATAAATAGGAACGGAAAACGTGGCAGGAAATGCTATTAATTTCGTATTACGCTTTCGTATTGATCTCAGCTATTTCTACGCGCATATATCTTTAGTATTATAAAATTATAAAATTATAAAATTATAAAAGTCCCTGCGCTGTGGAATAATTGGAATCGTTGCTGAAACGCAGTGCGTGTCCGCTTTCGTCTGTATGATGCAGGCTGTAAAAAAGACTGTGTTTCTGTGCTTTTTGTCCGGGGTGAACACACAGGTGAACTCGCAGTTTCTCCGTTTCATGAAGTTACTATTTATTAGCACAATAATTATTATTACATACGATATTCATAAACTTATTCCTCCAAGTGATTAATCAATGCGGATACATGTTACGAAACGTAACGATACAAATATATTTATATCACAGTCGTAGATAATGAAATTAACTTTATAACTCGAAGTTGTGTATTATTTACTTAAGTTCCTAGGATAATCGCCCGGGATTCCCCGCCGAAAGAAACCTGCGACTCACGTGACCAAAGTGCATACACGTACAAAAATCCCGCTGGAAAGTATTACGTCCGTCTGGGAGACAATACGAGAGAGAAAAAACTGCCACCCTTCCCTCCCTGGGCGAGCCTAACTTAGAGATACGCTGACGCGCTAATTATAATCTTAATTGCTAGAGATTTGATTCGCGTGGATAAGGTGAAACTCGCGCGCTTTGTTCCTACGCTCAGCGAAACGGCAGTTTCGAGGCGCGATGACGATGACGATGACGATGCCGAAGAGACGTCGAACGAGTCGCGTGGATGATTTCTAAAGGATAGAGTCACAAGTCGCTCTAATGATCGCTATCGCTACGAAAGGTACCTATTGTTAACTGTGCCTATACGTGGGATGGTGAAGCCAGTCTTCTAGCGAACGTCGCGAAACAACAAGGCTTTTGCTCGCGCAGGACTCCCTCCAGAAGCGAGGAAGCCGCTTCTCGAGGAGAAGGTATAAATAGACACCTTCGCTTTCGTCGATTACGGACTAATTACGTCTAAGCGAAATGACACTAAGTGAAATGAACATCTTTCAGAACAACATAACGAACGGAGAAAGGAAAAAAAAGAACAACCCAATCGATATCGTATATCGGTCGGTAGATAAATACTAGGATGATGCGATACTTTGGCGGACAATCGTAGATTGAAAATATGTAGAATCGTAAAGTGTTATTCCCTCTCTTTCCCCTTTTACAATTATACGTCGTACAAAAAGAATATTACATTCTGGATATTATCGTTCTCGGTATGTGTAATCATGTAATCATCGATCCTTTTCTACCAAAGACACGACATTTGCATCAACGCAATACGCAAAGATTCCGCTCGCATCTACAGAAGAACATTTCCCTTTATGTTTGTTTCAGAAGTCGGCAAGGATGCTAGGATGTTACTTCACTTGGACAGGGTCAACGACGAACCGCCGCGTTTCAACGTGTTTGACGGAGCGGCCGACAACAAGATCGAGAAGTTCTACCGGCGCATCTACGGAGACACATCAACGGCACCCGAAACGGTAGGAAGTAGAATTCGCTACATTTGGACACGTCATGCACGTCACACAATCCGGCTATAATTCTATCTAGTTAGTTAGTTAAATCTATTTAACATCGTGATACGTTACGTGCGAGCGTTACGAGAGCGCACTGGATCGCTGCTGAACTCGCTTGGGTTCGATCGTACAAATACATGCAAATCCTGCATGGATTCCGACGTGGACTGACAATTCCTAGTCTCTTAGTGATGGAAGCGCTCGGTACACTTCGATCTTCCGAGTCTCCGACAGATTCATCGACAGAATACCAAATCTCCCTCCTCTCCCCGATCTGTGATTTGCACACTTTGGCACACAATGTCCGCTTCCAGCGCGCGCTGTCGCTCGTAATCTTACGATTTACTTCGCATGAACCTTCTTTGCAGCACTTTGATTTATCGACCCCGTGGACGCCTGTCGATGTATCGCTACACGCACTCTTGCTCCCCCGCGACGGGGGATCGTTAATTAATCGCGCTTTGATCATGAAGGAAAACTGGCGTTTCCGCCATTTCCGCTTCGATATCCCTTTCGCGGCATCCTTTCCGCACGACTGCTTATTCCGCGAGAACCGCGCGGATGACACTTGGAAACATTCCGACTCCTCGTCGACCTAAAAACACATTGCGTCATCTTTCTCCGCTAAGCTGAATCAGCGGCTGAAAATCGGCCTTCTGCTTCTCAGAGTTACAGCGAGGCAAAACGAACCAAGCTTTTCCTTTAATCAAAGATAATTGCCACTCCATCTCCATAAGTACTTCGCGTTCCGTACTCTATTGGCCTCTTCGCGCGCTGAATCAGCCGAGCTGAAGCATCAAATCTTTAACGTAACTCGTAATGACGCGATTCACGTCGCGATTGTTCGCGCACCGTGTGTGCTGCGCACTTTTAAAGTGCCGCTCTCAGAGTGCCATTTTCACCGCGCGCGGCAACGCGCGCGCCTCCTAATTACGCAGCCTGCGAGAGCTGCCGTGTTTCCCTCGGCCGTCGCGGAGAGAAAGCCTTTCCTTTTTTTTTTTTTTTTTTTTCTCCTCACAACGAGCGGCAACAATGTGTATACAGCCGATGCGACGCCGAGGTACGAGGCCGCATACATTTGCATGATATACTTGCGAGAGCCGCCTGCTCCCCGTCGTTTGCTCTGAAGATCTCGCGCGTCTTCGGCGTCATTCGTCGTCCGTTCTTTTTCCCACATTACATCTCGCGCGCGCGATTCGAATTGCAAAGCGCGACACGGAGAGGCGGGAAGAGAATCGCTGCCGTCCTACTTGAACACTTCCAACGGGAACGCGTACCGTGTGCGAAGTAAGAAAGCAAACGGCGGCAATTATTATTTCCCGCTTTCGAGCGAAGCGAACCTGCCGACGCGCGGATTTACTCGCGGATTTAATCGCGCACGGCCTCATCAACATCGCCTTCGGCTTTCGACCCGTCGCTCGGATCGATCGCTCTTTTCCCGCTCAATGCGCGAAAATGTAAAAATCCCGGACAAACGTGACGCAACGACCACGATGACGAAACAATCTCCGACGAAGAAGTATTACGCTCTCTTTGAGGAGCGTCTTCTCCGCACAATGGCATCCTTCGCAAACGGAACTCCAACGTTTCTTTCTCTTTTTTTTTCTTCTCCAGACGAGAGCTATTATCGCGAATTACTGACGTATCGACTTGACGTTTCGCACAGAACTTCCTCTCTTCGCGCTTATAATAAGTCTCACGACACCGATGGCTATCCGAATGGACGCGATGGGGATCCGAAGGACTCTCGAAGAGAGCAGAACGCTGGACGTGACTCAGAGAGCCGCCTCGGGCGGTAACTTTCTGTTTCGCCCGCGGCTCGCAGTCGACGGTCGCAGTCGCGGACGTCTCTTCCTCGAGAAAGAAAGATGGAGAGAGGAGGAGAGACGGAGCACACACTCGCGCTCGCCGAACCGAGGGAGGATTGATGAACGCTACTCCCGTCTTGGCCCGCGGACAATCTCGCAGCGCGCGACCGCGCGACACTGACGGATTATATTCTTCCGGAGGAGGACGTGTCTCCTCCTCCGCGCCTGCGAATGTCGCGAGCGAGTTCACGCCTCTTCGTCTCTCCCTTCGTGGCCCTTCGCCCCCGCTTTCCGCTTTTCGACCTCCCGCCGCTCCTCGTCTCAGGACGGCGCTGAGGCGTGACGCGCGCGAGAGAGCGACAGGACTCTCGCTCGGCCCTTAACTCTTACCAACTAATTAGACGATGATTATATCGGAAGAGACACGAGAAGAGATGAAGATAAATTCGAGTAAAACTACGACGGAGCTCCTGAGGAACTCCTCGAGACACAAGTGTGCCTTCCGTCTCCTCTACGTCGTACGTTAAAGCTTCGTCGATATATCTCCTCTCCCTCCGCACCCCACGCGTCTGCAGGATCTTCTTCTACAAGTAGCGCGTCGCAGGTGGAGGAGGAGGAGGAGGAGGAGGAGGAGGAGGAGGAGGAGCAGCGGGAAGATGAAAGGTGTCGATCTCATCGAGTCCGCGGTGTAATCTTCCGCTTGCTTTTCTCGCCTGCCGTTGTGCTCTCTCGTCTCCTGTTCCCAGGACATCGAGTCCTCGAGACCTCGAGCCCTGTGCCGTCCCGCCGTGCCGATCGCCGGCCGGCCGGCCGCGGTGATTACTTGCGGGGTGGACGGCGGGAGTCGGGCGTCGCGCTGCGTCCCTAGGAGAGCTTGGAGGCGTCGGGCTTGTCTCAGAAGTTCGCCTCCAACGAGCTCTCGAGCTCGCTCAGGGCGGGCACCAGCGTCTGCAGCGAAAAGTACCGCGACCGGTCGGCCGCGTCCACGCTGGTCACGTGCTGGAACTGGCACGGCTGACTGATGTTGCTCTTGGCCGGCAGCACGACCTTCTTCTGCACCGGCTTCTTCTTCTTCTTGCCCGGCACCGACAGGCTGATGTTCTCCGGGCAGGACACCAGGCGCTCTATGTGCTGCCAGAGGTCGTTCGCCGCCTTGGAGTTGTCGAAGCTGAGCCCTGCCAGGCGAGTGTGGTCCGAGGAGAGACACATGGTGTGGAAGGCCGGCCCCGACACCTGCGACAAATACGTTTCGGAGAGAGCTCTTGCGCCGGGATCGTTCGTCTTTCTCGTCTGCTCTTCCTGCTCTTCCTGCTTGTCGCTCGTCGAGGGCTGTCGAGGGCGCGCGCGCGTTCTCGAGAGGAGGAGACGCGACGAGACTCGCGAGTACGCGACTGTACGCTTTACCTCGCCCGGCACGCATCGGCGAGAAACTTGAAACGGTGTTAAATGTCCGATGTTGTAATTGAAGCCGCTTTTCAACGTACGGCGCGCCGTACGTTGAACGCCAGCTAACGAGGTGAACGAAAGCCTCGCGAGCGCTCGCGCTCGCGCTCGAGAACGCGGATTGTTTATAACTGTAGCCTGCGCCGCGAGCAGCGAGCGCAACTCGTCTCGAATTTCGTATTTGTAATTTGAGATTGGATATCAATTATTCGCGCTAATGCTAACTCACCGGGCGCTGCGCTTCGCGCAGCTTTCGCGCAACGAGTACCATTCGCGTGCGGGAAATATGCTCGCGTGTCGGACGAACGATGAGAAGGAGTCTTCGTTCCCGGGAGAGCGAACCGCGAGACAGCCTTTACCTTGTACGACGACAGATTGTCGATGGTCTCGCGCCAAAGGGTGAAGCAAGTGCCGCGTTCCGCCAGTAGGATCTGGATCCGCCTCTTGGATCTCGATCGCGTCTCTCCGAGATCAAGCACCACCACGGGTATCCCGGTGAAGCGAAGCTCCCACCTTTCCGTCTGAGAAGCGCTGCCGAGATACAGATTCGCCAGTGACTCGCAGACGAACACCTGAGAGAAACGCGAAACGCGCCGAGATTAGCATCTCCCAAACATCCCTTCGAGACGGCTCTTCGAGGCGGCTCTCCCGCAGAGCCCGCTCTCTCACCTGCGATTTTAAGCCGCGGAAGAAGGTCTCGAGTTGCTCGCGCTCCATCTGACTGACCGGATCGAGGCGGGACTCGTCGCTGTTCTCGGAGCTGTCGCTACCCTCGTAGCTCGAAGTAGCGGAGGTGTCTGCCTCGCCCGTCGAGGATAGCCGTCTTCGCGTGGTGCCGCTGTACTCGCTGTAGTAGGACGAGCTGTGCAGCGACAGATTCGACTGCAATGCGGGACAAGATGACGCATAAACCGGCCCGTTCATTGTTGCCTGCAAGAGAAACGGGGAAACGTGAGAGATCGAAGAACGATGCGCCCTTGCGCTCGACGTTTCGATGTATCCGTCCCGTCGACATCGATTTTCCAAAGGTCGTTGATATCGAATTGCTCTCACATGGCTGCGCAAGAGAATTCAGCGTGGGCAAATTTCCGACAAATACAGATTTCCAAAAGTTGGATTGGATGATCCGATAATAATTCCGTTTGACCCTTCTCGAGTAACGTAAGCTGCTCTTTCTCTGCTACGAACGCTACGAAAACGTAAGGGATTTATTACTATCTGGATCCGTCGCTTGCTCATCTTTACCGTCGGGATATATTCAATGTGCATATAGACGCATCATTATACCACGGAGAAAGAAGGACAAAGAAGCAGAGAGAGAGAGAGAGAGAGGGAGAGAGAGAGAGAGAGAGAGAGAGAAAGAGAAAGGGAGATCACCGCCCTTCTGCGAGCGCGCGCAAAAGCTCATCGATTTCTGGTACAGCGCCTGGATTGTGCGAGAGCGCACCCCATAGTGTCATTCTATAAATATCCGCGACCCCTTTTATTATGCGCACGTCCGATTACCCCAGGAATTTCGATCGTCATCGAAAAATACACCTGCCGGACGAAAGCGTAAGCGTCGTAATCACAGCGTAACTCAACCTACTTACGCTCTGCATCATCATCGCGCTAAGCCGACCGCGTGCGTGTGACCGAAATACTACAACCGACGATCGATCATGATGCAATATTTTTAAATTTAGATTAAGAAGGACATTTCTTGTCCTATAGACTAAACTCGACATTGCGTAATAATAATAGAAGAAGCGCTGCCTCAACGTTTCTTCTCTCTCATAATCTCCTTATATTTTTTTATGAATTTTTCTGTTGAATTGGAATTTTTTGTCGCGTTAAAAATGTCGACAGGATTTATAGATTCAAGAGAGGAGGAGAAGAAAGAATTATGTAAATCAGTCTTGGTCGTTATCGTGGCGGCCAAGGACTCAATGATCTGGCATGAAAAAGCGAGTTGATAAAAAACGCACCATTAATTAAAGATTACACGTTAGACCAGAAGTTGACGGAATTTCCGGATTTCGCCACGAGCGAAATTATTTATCGATACATCCCGTCGCGATAAGTTTGATGAAGGTCGCCTCAAAGGTCTCGACTGTTTACTAAGCGTTGATTGTTATGATCTCTCGGCCGTTGTGTACATACACGCGTCTTTCATTCACTTCCGAGAATAATGGACGGTTGACGGGTCGGCTGACTGTTTTTGTATTTCCGTGTGTCGCGTACCTTTCCGCGATCGTGTTTATTATGTCTCGGGCCGGCGCACACACACCACGTCGCGTCGCGGAATGTGTGTATCGGTTTACGATATTCTCGTCGGCTGATTTAAACATTTCGCCGGCTCTTGAGATATTGGAGTTCGCGTGTCGGCATCGCGTTGATTAACACGTGTTTCTCCGATCGAATCGCATTTACGCGAGTGTCAGTGCTGCTGAATATCTGGAGTCACGGGATAATCAGGATCTGGATCAGGACCGAGGACGTCGAGACGTGAGTAGCGGCATATATTTCATATATTTCTAAACGCGTGTGTATATGTGAGAAAGCATTTATTGCATATATTAACTTATCATATCGAATCTTTTCGAATTTAATGTTTGATTACGTTTGATGAATTTGTTAAAAATAAGAAGATAGCCAAAACGAAAGGTTCTATTCTAAAGTCTATTCTAAAGCCCTTCGGCACTTATTCGCCAAGTGTTATTAACTTTATAAATCCCTGATTATTTTATCAATTTTATTTACGATTTCTTTCGTACGATAAGAAACACTGCGATTAAAACAGCCGAGCGAGCTTTGAATCTTTTCGGATATCTATTATAACATCGAGACACAAGACAAAAGCGCGTACAAATATAATAGATTCTATATTGACTCTTCAAACTCGACGGAGTCTGCAGGGTCAATATAGAACCAAAACTCCAGCGAGCCGGCGTCGTAAACCGAACGCAGGAACATTCCGCGAGATACCGGAGACTCTGTGAGATCTCACGCGAGAGGTAAAAAGAGAGACGTGTAAATGGAGAGAGAGAGAGAGAGAGAGAGGGAGGGAGAGAGAGAGAGAGAGAAAAAGAGAGAGTTTCGCAGTGACTCGCGCAGGGGTGGAAGACCCTTCACGTTCCTCCGACATGTGACTCCAGAGGTGAGAAAAACTGGGTCGTCGACTTCGATACCGCGATGACGCAAGGGAAAGAGAGAGAGAGAGAGAGAGAGAGAGACCGCTCCGTGAGAGAGCTAATCGGGCACCCAACGGCGTGCGGGGGCGATTCACTTAATGCTCGCGAGAAAAGTCCGGCCTTAATTTGATCAGCGCCTTTCGAGCTGTTCGGATGGCTAATCACGTTCGTTGCCTGTGCGTTATCAGTCGCGGTACCCGGTTGTAGAGAGAAATTCCACTGCGAACGATGAGGACGACGGTCTTGCGTCGCACGAACTCCCCTCGTTTATTGATAATGACGACGACGACGACGACGACGACGGGGACATGTCCGATGCACGATCGTGTCAACGATCCGCCGGTACTTGACGGCACGCGTTACTCACGATCGCCGATGACGCATCGCTGCGTCGATCCGACCTTATTAACCCTCGTATGGACGGACGGCAACGGAAATCGATCTTCCCGGTGGAATGCGGGAGCGCGATTCCTTTACGTCTCACGGAACCGTCGACCAGGCGAGTTTTATTCGCAACGTTATATTTTCTCGGTGCGTGCGCTCGCGTGTCTCTCGTTCGCCGATAGATTTGACAGACGATATAAATGTTTCAGCTCGGTTCGACACCCGGCCGGATAAGCTGGAAATATTACGTATTGAGCGTTTGAGATTGTTGTGCGAAAACGCAACGACACGCGACGATAAAAGTCTCTTTAATCTAGGGAGTAACTGCGAGACAGAGGCCGATCGGATGAAATCACCGTGACGGAGGGAGAAACAAACACACGGTCTATACTCCGAATTGAATAGAAACAAAATATCAAAAAATGCGCGAGAAATGATCTACTCCCTTCCCCCGGACCCTTCGAGCGACATGTGAAAAATTCCGATAGAAATCTCTTTCCGACTTGTTCGTTTTTGTAGGTCAAACGTAGAAATGGGCGGCGGGTTCTTTCGAGTTAATTAACACGAGGATGGAACGATGTTCCGCGGCAAGCCGGTATATTCATCACGCTAATTGTAACCACCGGAATAATGTATAATTCAGCAGGACTCGTCTCTCTTTCTCAGTGCCGCCGGTGTTGATACGCGAGGCAAGTTCCGAAAAAATTGCGGTCGGAGATAATTTATCCGAGGCAGCGAGACGTCGCGTTATAATAGATGAGGAGGAATTAAATGCTGTGAAATAATGTTGAAATTACGATATGTAGGACGCTAAAGTAACGAACGGATAACGTGTAACGGTGCTCTCGAGCGTGTCATGCCGGGCACAAGGTCGCGTGGCGACTTACACTGCCAATCATTGACACACGCTGAATAAATAAAAGTCCGATAGTCGACATTCTTTGCCGGCAGTTTCTTGATCGAGCATTAAGGTGTGTGTGAGAATTAAGAAAATAAATAAATAAACATTAAACAGATGACATATAATTAATAAATTCTCATATATCTCTCTCTCCCTCTTATCTTATATAATATGTATCTATATCGTATCTTCGATACGTCACGTCAGTGTCTGTCAATTAGTGGCTAATTAAGAAATTCGCTTTTTGTTTCAGATCTGCCGACGCTTAAGCAACGGATGAGCTTTCGGCGGATGCAGAAGCTGTACCGGAGGATCCGGTTCGGGCCGAGCAGGATCGGCTCGAAGGTGGGTTTATAGACTTTCTTTAGACCGTACTTTTGCGCATTCAACCTTTTGCGACCGAAAACTGGAACGTTATCGAAGAATTATTGAATGACGGTCACAAAAGAATTTGAATTGTTTTTTACTTTTCTTGTTCAACCATTAAGCCTTGTGTCTAATCGACGATCGTATGTTTTCTTGTGTTACAGATCTGCGGCTGAATGTGGCCGATCCTGAGTTCCTGTTAGATCGGTGAGCTTGAAACAAAGACAAAGAGGTGGCAGATTTATATTGATAGTAAGAAATCAATGCGATTTACCCCAGTTTGTAGAGTTTTGCATGTACACTGAGAGAAAAAGATATATATTTTTCTCCCTTAACCAAAAATAATAATGCAACGGACGCATCGAGTTACTCTCGGCTATATTATAGTAGCGTTTGATACAGAAATGCTTATCCTAACTATAACTATTTCGTCACACAGTTACAGTAGCAAATGCTAAACACGTTCTCTCAGTGTAGGGTTTTGCATGTCTGTGTTTGCGCCGTCCTTCATAATTTTGCGCCGTAATACGTGGAATTCGTGATTGCCACTTTGACCGTTGTTGAAATTTTCTCAAATTTTCACGCACGCGTTATATCGTCGTTTCATCCGAGAAATTACACCGCGGAATTTCCGACATTCACACATCTACTGTTTCTATGAAAAATTAGGATTCTCGCGAGACGACAACCTCGTGTTTCACATGGAAACGTCCGCGAAATTCCCAGATATTTATCTCTCGATTTCACAAGCTCCACAGGGAGAGTTCCGTTCGCGATTCGTCGCGCGCGACTCGCGAGTGTACTTCCACAGCATCGCAACCGCGTGCTTTTTCCGTGCTCGCGTGCGTTAAAACGCGATTGCGAGTGCGATGCAACGAAGTAAAGTGCGCGAGGAGCCACCGACGTGGGACGACGGCTGCTGCTGGATGCTGATGCTGAAGAGGGAGGAGGACGGATGCAGATCGAACCGCGGCGATCGGCGGCGGGCGTCTCGTCTGTCCCGGAGCTGGACGTCGCCAGAAATCGACGCCGATCGGTGAGTGCTGACAATTTGAGCGCTCACGCAGCGCCACGTTACGTGGTGCGTGTGATATCTCAATGTAAAT